AGAGACAGGGCAGGAGCAGTGCTGCAGAGCAGGGCCTGCACCACCCGGCTCCAGGTCCGCGGCGGAGGGAAGGGGATTGGGGACTGTGGCGGGAGGCAGGGGGTTGGGGACCATTGCAGAGGGCAGGGGGTCCAGGACCACGGAGAAAGGCAGGGGGTTCAGGTCCACAGCAGAGGGCAGGGTCTTGAGGGCCAAGGAGGAGGGCAGGGGGTCAGGGACCATGGAGGAGGGAAGGGGCTTGAGGGCTGTGGAAGAGAACAGGGGATTGAGGGCCATGGAGGAGGGCAGGAGGTTAGGGACCGCGGAGGAGGACAAAGATTTGGGGACCCTGGAGGAGGAGCAGGGGGTTGGGGACCACAGCAAACAACAGGGACTCTCAGCAGCCTCCCAGCAAGAGGCGGATGGAGGCACCACCCCACCGGAGGCTGGGGCTCATGCAAACTGCTTATTATAACCCTACTGCCTGTCTGTCTGTCTGTCTTTCCAACTATCTGTCTCACTCACTAATCAAAGAAGGTTGTTCCAAGAAAGCTGGAAGAGGAGAAGGAATGTCTCACTTGGCTGTGGCTTCCTCTGGAAAGTCTGGAAAAACTGTGGCATCTCAATGTGCGTGAAGGTCTGCCTGGTGAGAAGCACATTTTCCTTCCAAAGCTGCTGTAAAGATGTGAATCATGAGCCGGTAACGCTCCTGGCAAAACGAAAACTGATTCCACTGAGACACGGTGCTGGCAGCAGCTCTGCTGTATCTCTTGGATGGAAAAGAGAAACATTTATCTTAGAGACATCACTGGGGAAGAGCCACTGGTGCTGCTGAGAGCCCAGCGGTGGCCAGATCCTGCCTGTGTCCACCAACGGGAGCCTCGAGCAGGTTTCCCAAAGGTCTCCCAGAGCCTGGCAGTGGCATTGCCAATAGTAAAACACAAGCCAAGGGATTTACAGTCCCCTTTGGTTGCCCTCCACAATGTCAACCACTCAGCAGCATCACTGTCTTTCAGGGATGAAAATATTCTGTATCCCTGTGGCTCATTTGCGATTATGTCAATTTTATTTCTGGGTTTTTATAGGCATCACACTGCACATTGTAGGGAGAGACAAGGAGGGGGTGCCTGAGCAGATTGTTTTTTCTTGTTGTGAGCTCAAGGCCAGAGATTCCTGCAGTCATGAGCCGAACTCCGCACCTGTGCATCCAGAAGCACTCTGTGGCAGAGCACGTGCCTTCTGGTAGCAGCAACTGCCTATAGGGAATGTGGAGATTCATTGCCCCTTTCATGGGGAAAGGACTTAAAACCTCTATAAAGGTCTGTTGGGAGCCAGGGGAGGAGCCCCACTGCTCCACCTGCAGCACAGTGGAGGTCTCCCTGTGCCACCATCCCCATCCAGCCTGTCCCCTCCTGTCCCCCTGCACTCACTGCTGGGGCCAAAACCCCACCAAACCTTGCCCCCGAAATGCCCTGTGCTGCAGTTGCAAGACCCCAGTGGACATGGCATGTTTATGAAGCCACTTGCTCCCTTCCCATGTGGCCCCCAAAATCTGCCCAGCCTGGTGACCAGCACAGTGCTGGGGCTGGTGCCCTCCCCACTGCACCCCCCCACTGGCAGCAGCTCACCTCACCGCCTCAAGCCAGCATTTATGGACCCCGGAGCAAACAAAACCCTCCTGTCACGCAAGTCCCTCCTTTCTGGGACTTCCAAGCTTTCTGTGGCCCAGAGGGCACCCTGGCTCACACCATCCCCAGCCCTCAGGTCCCAGGTTTCATCACTACTTCGCTGCTAAGAGCTGGAAGAGTTTCAGCTGGGGAGACCGGAGAGATTGCTGGGTGCCCACATGCTGCCTTCTCCCGGGCAAGAGCCTGTGCAGCACGGGAGGCAGTTTGGTGTATGTTATAGTGAATTCCCATGCAATTATTATATATATGTCCAGCAGTCCTGCACGGATTATCTCATTTGGCTGTTCCTTATACAACGTGTTCATTAGTGGTCATTTAATTACAGGATGCAAAAATGAGCTGTTCTGAAATACTAATACATGTATGCAAAAATGCAACGAGCAGTTAGTGCTACTAATGAGAGAGGGAGTTGTGGTACCAAGAACAGGAAAAATACAGCAATGTCCTGGCAAACCTGAGATCTGACCTAGCTCAGCCAGCCTGCTGTGACCTGGAATTATCCCAGCTGTCTTTCGGGACACAAGGAGAGAAAATGATACACGGGTGGGTGAGCAGCCATTTCCTACTCACAGGAGAGACAGAGTGTCCGAAACCACCTGTACTCACAGCAAAGGCTGTCAGAAAGGATGGGCAGGGTGTGCCAGTGCCACTACCACTTCACCTCTGAACCCAAATTCAGCAGGATCGGGAAGCCCCTTGCTTCCCGGTGACCCTCCAGTGCCGTTTGCCTGGAGATGGGAATTAATGGGGCTGAGGATGTGAACCCAGCGCTCCTGGGGGCAGGGAATGCTGCTGGCTGCTTCCTGGTAGCTGTGATTAATTGTTGTTAATATTAAATTCAGAGCTTTTATGCAGGACGGAGAAGTGCTTAGGCAGAAGCCCAGCTCCTGTCCTACCTGTCATTAAAAAACATTGCAATTAAGCCATGGTGGAAGGAAATAGGAGTAAATGCATCCTCTGTAAGTGGCTTCAGCTTTCCATGGACATCTGTGTCCCACCATTTCCTCTTCGGCTGGCCAAGCACTCCTGTTTTCCCTCTTCCCATGACCCATACATTGCTATTTCTCCTTAATTGTGCCCGCAGCTCCCGACAGCGAGGGCTCAAGCAGGGAGGAAAGGAGCCCCAGCTGCCTCTGACCCATTGCAACCCATGGAAATTTTGTGTCAGCTGCAGCTGCAGCCCCAGCCGCGACTAAAATCAAGGCTGTGCTCCGGGTACTTGCTCACCTAGTTGGTCCCTGATGCTTTCTTCACTCCTTTGCTCCTTTGTAGCCTGCACTGGGGTAGGGTACAAGCCATACCCAGTCGGAGCTCAGTGCTAAAGCTCTGCCAGGGAGGAGACTTGTTGGTAAAGCTGGGAACATGAGCACTAAGCGCCCCAGTAAAATCATTAGTGGAGCACAGAGAGGGCCCTCAACCCACCGGGCTGCTGGGAGCCGGGTGCTCTTGGTACCTGCTGACACTGTGATGAGCTGCTGGGACCTAGGGAAGGGGTGCTGGCAGGAGGGGTGCCAGCTCCCTGCTGGCACTGTGAAGCCAGACGCTCCCTCCAGCTTGGCCTCTTCACCTCCGTCAGCCAGAGGAGCACAGCACAGCTGGGAGGTGCCTTTGGACCCCACATCCCGCAGGGATGCCAGGAATAGGCAGGGCCAGGGCACACCATGTTTGCCAGCACCCCCAGATGAAACATTTAATCCTGCTTCAACAAATCTTTTTGTCTCATTCAAGCAGAAAATTGAAGAATTTTAGAAACTTTGAAGAAGTGTTGAGAAATTCTGGGTCTGCCCACAGAACCCCACTCCTCTCCATCAGTAGAAAACCGAATGCTCTGCGCTTTCAGCTTGATGATGGGTTGCAATTGCCCCAACATAAAGCATTGAACTTGTTTCCACCTTGCAGCAGACCTGGATGGGTTTTTCAGCAGCTGAGACCTGCTCCTGCTTCTGTCAACGGTGCCTGACCTCAGCCAAACACTCCCAAAGTGTCAGCCCTGGCTGTTGATCCCACCGGGCCTGGCGCAGCCCCGAGGTCTGTGGCAGAGCTGAGCCAACAAGTGCAAAGCAGAACGGTGGGATGGTTACTGCAACGGCAGAGGGTTTTCCCATGGAGGTGTCCACCTGGGTTATTCCAGATGAGGTTCTTCCCCAGTGAAGGACAAGGCAGGATGCCATGGGGTGGGACGTGGGGCTGGTGATGATGGGTCAGCCTTGGCCAGAGGACACTGAGAGGAGCCATGCTGGTGGGGGATGAAGGGGGACCCTCCTCTGCCTCTCTCCAGGACTGACAGGACTGAGACACAGCCGGAAGCTGCAGTTAAAATCTCAGGAATGCCAGGAGAGACAGGGCAGGGTGACAGCAACATAGAGCTAGGTATGCCACGCCATGGCAGGTTGGAAACAGTGTGGCCAGCGTCCCCGTCCTTTCCACAGCAGGTCCTTAAAGTCCTGATATTGCCTGGGGAAAGGCAAAAAAATCCAAGATAAGACTTAGGGTGAGAGATTTGGAGATAAAGAGGGGCAGCAAGGAAAAATAAATCCTATGGCAAGTAAGATACTGGTGCCAGGAATACCATGTTGAATATTTTGGACCTGGTATGATAAAGATCAAGTGAAAAGTGTCCTGAGAACCGAAGGTGGCTTTTCAGAGCCACGAAGGACGCTGGCAGAACCGCACAGGGTCAGAGGGTCAGGGTGGATGGGGAGGGATGGGGAAGCACCAGGCGTGCCTAAATTCAGGGAGATCTGGCTCTCTGGCAGCTGCAGAGCCTGGACAGCTGGGGACACAGCAGGCGGTGATGGCCGAGGAGTGGGTCTGGGGTGAAACCCGGGGAATTGCAGGAACGCCCCGGCTTCACCCGGCACCGGGTGGCAAAGAGCAACAGCAACAGTACCCGCGCCAGACTGGGGCTCTGGCCACGTCCCCAGGCTCTGCCGCCGCCACAGAGAAGGGAAAGACTTTGCCAGGACTGCAGTGCCGATGAACGACTTTTTTTTTCCCATTGCTTGCAAACATCGTCATCTTGTATATAAACACAAAATGCCAAAATGTGAGTCAGCTTAATGGCAGTTTGGCTTCTTCACAGAAACAAGGCGATAAACGGCAGAACTACAGTTTGCAGAGGTGATTTATTCCTGTTTCAGGGGGTTTCAATAGGTGGCTTCATGACAGGTAGAATATAGTCCCATGATATTTTAAAAAAATAAATTAAAAATAATTTTAAAATAATCTATTTTCAATTAGTTGCTTTCCATTGATGAGAGGAAAAATATCAGTCTCAGCTAGTGGCCAAACATACTTTTTAAAACTTTGATATATATTAGAGAGCAGAAAGAAATGCAGACAGTATCTTCCTATGAGCAGTACATTCAAACTATATAAAGGTGTCGGGTTTTTATATAAAGCTGATAAATAAGTTTTGTGGCCCAGTGCTGTGATCTGGCACAAAAAAAAAGATCCTATTCATATGAAGGAGCAGATCTGAGACTGCCTCAAGAATCTTAATTCCTGAATTTCTCAGCTTTTTTTTTTTTTTTTTCCTGACATAAAGATTCTCAATGAGCCAATTATGGAGATCTTGACATAATGTCATTTTTTTCAGTAACAAATGCTGTAGCTTAAAATCCACTCTGTAAACACTCAAGCATGTACTTATATCTACACATGTAAATAATCCTGTACAGGTCAGGAAAACTAACCATGTATATAAAGTTAAGCGTGTCTGAAAAGTGCAGGATTGAGGCCAGCGATTGCAAAACAGTTTAAACTATAATCCTCCATTTTCATTAGTTTCTTGAAAAACTTCTGCTGTGGGCTTGAAATTCTTCCTGTTTTGTTGAGCCAAAGGTGATTTTTCTCCCCAGGCAGCCTGAGCAAAAACCTTCCTGCTGTTTTTAAGTTGTAAGGCTTCAAAAATCACTTTTTCCACTAAGGACATTCTGCCCTTTTAATTTAGAGAGTTCAACGTTGACATCTACTGTGTAAATAAAGCTAATTAAAGACAGTTATTATTTGCTGTACATAAAAGTCCTCTACCACCACAGTCTCTAAATAAAGCAATATCTGTAGGCACCAGGAGCATCCTTTATTCCTATAAATGGGGTGTTAATTTTTTAGCCTAATTTAAATGAGACCTCGGCCTCCAAACTCTACGTGTTCATCCTCTCCCAGGATGCTGAGCGACGCAGCAGGGGTGGGCTCCAGGCTGAAGTTCTGTTCCTTCCAAGAGAGAGACATCCACCCAGGAATGGGGCTAAAGCATTGCTGCCGTGCCATGCCGTGCCGTGCCGTGCCATGCTGTGCCTTGCCGGGAATATCAAGGCAGCGACTCCGTGTTGCTGAAGTTTCCGTGGTTAGCGAAGCATGCTGCTTGTTCAGGGGAAGAAGGTGGGTTGCGGGCTGGTTTGCAGTCTGGCTGAGGTTAGGAAAATGATAATCTCTCCGAGAGCCCTGCCCACATTTCTGGCTTGTAAGAAGTTTGAGGCTGTAGCAAAGCAATAAACTCGGTGCCCCCTGGTCTAAGCAGCATGGCTGTGAAGGGAAGACAGGGCAGGATGAAAACCTGGTTACAATTCAACACACCCATTCAAGGCAAATTGCCTCTAAAGGACTACGGCATGCGCCTTGAGTTTGAACAGAGTGCAACAAAAAAAGGAAGAAGGAGATCCAGGTTAAGAGCTTAAATGGTCCAGATAAAAAATAAACCATGGAAATCATTATTTGGGTTATATAAAATGGGATTTAATAAATATGGTACAACCATGAAAGGGGAATAGAATATTTTCTCTGCTCTTCCATGGAGCTAAAACTGAGGAAGGAACTGAAATGAGGATGGTAGAAGAGGAGAAATAAGCAGACAGGAAAATGCCACTTAGTCAAAAAAATCTGCTTCTCAGCCCTCACTTTCCCAGTTTACGGTTGGAGCTTTTTCTTCTCTGCACGGCCACGGGCCTCTGCCTCCCACAAGGATTCGCAGGAGCGTGTGGCACCCTTCGGCAGATGTGTCCTCACAGGGGCCCAGGCTGGCTGGTGGCCAGCGAGGCGTGGGCACACGAGCTGGCCGCTGGCACCGCACGTCACTGCACGGCACAGCCCTCCTCGCCGGGCAGAGCAGAGGCTGCTCTTGCTACCTTGCAGAAATACCAGTTGCATGTGGTGGAATGACTTTTTAAAATATTTTTAGCCACAATACAACTTTGTAGCTTATTCAGGAGCAGGTTCCTCAGGCACCCAGGAGTTTAATATTAATAACCAAGATGTTTTGACTTGACACATAAGACACACAATCTGCTTGTTTGTTTGTTTGGACTGAAGAAATACTGAGAGGCAATTTCAGCTCCTTGATTTGTTTTCTAAGTGTTCTAGGAAATAATTCACCGAATTAAAAGACTGTATGTGGAGCAGTTTCATGCATGTGGTGACGAGATGGGGTCACACATAGTAGCACAGAAGCCAACTTGGTCTGCACCAAATTCCCTTTTTGAGATATCCTTTGGTAACTCAGCTACCTAAATCTACTGAAACATAACCTCTGAGCAGTTCTCGCACGCAGGTACAGATCACACAGATCCTCCGAAAGCTGCAGCCTGGGGGAAACCTTTGGTGGGAAATTACCTAAAAGCCTGTGATGGGTTATGGTTTTTCCTGATTGCCATTAAGAATTTTGTGCGTGCCACAAAGCATGAGGGTTATTTGGTTTTTGTTTATCAAGGGTGACTGCTGGTCATCCCATTACCCAATTCAAGGAGATTCCTGGATTATAAAAGGATTAGGGCCCCGTTCCTAAATCCTGATTGCATCTAGTCAATAATTGCTGGGTTGAACTGAATTTCTCCCTCGATGACCTTTCATTACATCCTATATGCCACTTTGTTTTGTCCCCAACTGACCTTTTTAACAAATATTTGCTGTGATTTCAGTACCCCAGCACCAATATTTCTCCCTTATTGCAGAAGCATGTGTTTTCTCTTACTTCTGTCAAAAGGCATCTAATGTATTTGTCTTGTCCACAGGCAGCAGAACCCAGACCTGAGTGACTTCACATTTTATTTCCATAATATACTGCAGTTGTCAGGGCAGCAACATAGGTAAAAATGACTAGGAGATGCGATAACCATCTCTGCCAAAGTGTTATGCATCAGTGTTTTCAGCAACATTTTCTTCCCATCTTGTTCCCTGGAAACAGAGCTAGGCACGTGGCAGAAACATGCATTCATGTTCAGCTCTAAACATGATTATTTGGAAGGTATTCCCTGCTCTTTTTGCACTCATGGTCCATTGACAGCCCTGCAAAAGTCCAAAATACTCAGCAAGCATCAAGCACTCCACGGATACTATTTAAGAGTGTCAAAATACTAAAAATTGGTGTCACCTTTTTGAAATTTTTAAGTACTTGATTCTGAAGCCTCAGTGATAATTTGTTACTGGCGTCTTTTCTTTGTGTAGTATAAATAAAACCTTTAAGTCATAAAGCGTGAAGTGCAGCAGCAACCGGTTTAGAATTAAATCAGTTTTTAATCAGTACAAATGCTAAATCTATCAGCTGGCAGTAATAATCAGTGGACTGCGTTGGGCCATGCCGATTTCAGTCACCACACTAACATAGCAGGGGTCCAATTGCCCTGTATAATTTTTTCTTTTTTCATCAAAGTGTTAATCCTATCACCACAGCAATAAATGGAAATAATTACTTGTTCCTGTATTTGCAGACAGGAGCAGTGTACTTTTCCCGAGCTTATAGAACACAAGTGTGTAGAAACCATCTTAAATACAAGCTAAAAATTTATATAAGACTTTCTCAATGCCTTCCACTCCACATTTGTCACAGCATTGCTAAATTGCTCCGATATATCTGCTCTGGCTGGAGTAGTGGGGGGTCATCTATATTCCTAGACAGCATTGGCATTGCAGCCACACGGGTGACATCTCGGGTATAGCTGAGAAGACTGCTCTCTTCTACCGTTTCTGGGGAAAAAAAAAAAAAAAAAAAAAAAAAAAAAAAAGAAAATCACCAAAAATCCAATATTACTGAGCTGGGTTATTTTTCTTAAATGATTCTGGCACCCACAGTGCAGAATAACAGATCTGTAGTTAAAATACACTGCGACAGCCTGAGCCAGGGGAAGAGAAAGTGAATCTATTCGGGGATGCGGTTGGGAACGCTCTGTTACTCAGCTCAGACAGCGATGGCTCTCACCAGATCCATTCCCAGCTCAGCGGCGCTCGAGGTCACCTTTCTATTGCAAAGACAAGGGATCAAGTCACAAAAATGCCACAGCAATTCTCTTCTCCCTATAAAACCTAAATTTAAAAAGGGCTTGGTGCTCACACAGCAGAAGTTTTACGTTGTGTAATTCCTTGCTGCACTTACAATCCCCTAGCTAGGGTTTTCTGTGGATTTGCAGCAGGTCTTTCCTCCAAACCAGCGGCGTGTGCACAAGATGATTGCATAAGCCTGCAATTGTGCTGGTGAAGTTGCATCCCCACCTCTTTTCAGTGGAACAATCCAAAACATCAAATATAAAACATGTTGCAATTTGCAACTGCACTGTTGCAAAAAATCAGAAAACGGTAAAATCATGCATTGCAATGTTCACAGCCATTGCAGAAATGACATTTTTTCCAAATCCGTATCGTTTTCTCTATATTATAGTCCTGCAGGAAAATCCCGTACCAAGTGTAATCCTATGAGGAAACTTGACTGTAAGTTAACTATATGAATAGTTCAGGCTAGTTTAGTTCTGAACAGTTAGTCTAGTTTAGAATAATTTAGTCCTGAGGGTCCTTTTATGGCTCCTGTAAAAGAGAACTCCCCTTTTCCATCAGGATCTTCCCACAGAAACTCCTCCCTAATTTGTATCACATAAGGGCTATTTTTATATGCCTTTGCACTGCCTGCCACCTACTCATGGAAGTCCTGCTGATGACTTTACAGTGTTGCTTCCCACTATTTGACTACAACTGTTGGTCATTTTCACTGTTTTTTGCTATTTTACGCTGTGCTATAAAGCGGAGTTACAGCATGGCAGCGAGAGTGACTCAACTCTCCTTTGGGAATCCCGGGTGAGCGCTGCTGTAGCTGATCTCCAATCAGTGTTTTATAGCTTCTAGCCTGTCTTCTTGTCATCGTTTCTGAATGGATTAAGCCTTTGCTTTAGCCTGGCTGTAGCCGGTCCCTTGTCTCCCTAATTTGAATGTCCCAAGAGGCTGCAGGTAGATGGAGTGGGGGCCTGGTGCTGGGCTGGTCTAGTGCCATCAATGACTGCTGCTTGTGCAGTTCTCCTGCTGTTTATTCCTTGGTGCTTCCATGCCCAGACAGCCCCATCCATAGCAATCTTAGCACTCCTATTTCAAGTAGGAAAACGCCTTTTTTTTTTTTTTTTTTTTTTTTTAAAGAAGCAGAGTGTCATGCAAGTTCCTCCACTGAGTGTTCATAGGTACAAAAGCATGTTAGATGTGGCTGTATTTGCAGACAACAGTGGTACTTCCTCTCTTCGGAAACAGAGCAAGTTTCTATTTCAGGCTTTGCTGACTCAAGAGTGAGGTACCCAAGCTGATTCAGCAGCTTGGCAAGCCAGGGGAACTTCTGGTTATGAATGGAATGAGCAATAAATTTTGTCTTCATCTTACAGAAATGTATATTTGAGTGAAGCCACCTCCTGGTGGCAGACATTTTGCCAATTGTATGGTGGTACAGTCTGAACTGCTTTCAGCATAGAAGGCCATGACCACACAGCCTGCAAGGAGAACCGTGATCCCCACTCACCTGGGCCAGGTTTTATCCTTCCTCTGGAAGTCCAAGTCCCATAAAAAGCTCTTCTACTGCTTACTCACTTATTTTGTCTGTGCATCCCATCCGGGGGATGAAATGGTGTCAGTAATATGAATAATATGAACTTCAGTTTCAGAAGAATGAAAATACAGAACACGAAACCAACCTGTCTCCCCTGAGGAAGTGAGAAGAATGCACCACTTACTCAGCTTCCGTGGCTTCATATGGAAAAGATGTCAAAGGTAATCCTTGTGCTCTTCTTTTATGGTAAAGTGAAATAAGCATCATGATACTTTTCTAATTTTAAAAACCATGGAGAAGTAACAATCCTCCAAAATATTTGCTAATGTTTACCCGTTAGTCTGTGAACTGAATTCAGAAAAGCTGTTGGATTTTTTTAAATCCATAACAAGAGTTCTTTCACCTAGAGGTTACCAGGATTTAAAACAAAGCTCATAGTGAATGCTGCACACATCAGCAAGGATGCAGACACAGAAATCTGTCAGAAAGTGAGATCCTGCTATTTATTAAGGTAAGAAAGCAGGGAATGGGGCATCCGGGCTGTCTCACTTGAGCCTTTCTGTCTGTGGATGGATGAAACAGGTTTTAACATATTTTCCTCTAATATTTATACTGTTTGCAGAGCCAGACAGGATCCATAGTCTCCACCCATGGCATCCAGGATGCCTTTCCTTTCAGGCTGTAAGTTTTCCTTTGACAACGTACAATAATTTCTAAACAGCATTCCTGCTCCCCAACTCCACCAACTATACTGGGATTAATATGCGCCGTTGTTCTAGCCAGCAGTTCCCATGTCATATTCTTCTGCCTCGTGAAGGCAGTTTGTGAAGTCTAAAAAAGCATCATGTGGGTTGTCACACTTCAGAACCCCCCTAAATAGTTCCACACAGCTCCATCAGATAAACGAAGTACAATATTATGAACGTCAAACAAAAGCTAATCGTTAGAGCTGACAAAGCTGTGCCTCTGAGAAGGGAAGTAAATCCAGTTCTATAGACTAAATATGTATATTTAGTGGCAACAAGTTAAAAGAAATGTGCAAGTAGGATACGCATTTGCCCAGCTATTGCTCTGTCAAATATTTCCTCTCATTCGGTCTCTGAGAAAGGAAACCAGTCACAGAGTATTTTGGAAGGGTGGTCGGAGATCTCTGCAGGAAAACAGCAGAACCGCAAACTACCAGACACTAAAATGAACCCGGGACTCAAAATCAATACTGTGTGGTAGCTCCCAGCTCTACCAAGATGTGCTAACTGGGGTTGCTTAGAAAGTGAGCAAGAGGAAGCATCTACTGTAAAGGATGCTACTAACATTACCCACACAGATTCTTGCCTTAGAGGGACATGCTGGGGGTATTATATTCCATGGAGTTAAACTCCTCCTGGATAAAAACAAACCAGAATGCAGGGGGGAAAATAACAGATACAACTTCAAACCACTTCTTGCCCTCTAAGACAAATACTATTCACACTTGAAATATATACAAGCATCACTGGCATTTCTTGATTACTGCTTACATGTATTTAATCTGCTTCTTGAATCCAATGGAGAAAAATCTTCATGACAAAAGCAAAGTGAAAGAGTAGTAGTGTCCATGACACAACACCTGACTTTAAAAACTCAGTCTTTCAGGAGGCAGCACTAGGTCCTTCCCAGCTGGCGCAGAGCTGACAAAAGCGGCTCCAAGGTAACTGTGCTCCCTGCTAGGTACACAGCGAATGTGACACAGGCAGCTGGGGAATGGCTGGGCTGGCGAGTGTTGGGTGAGGTTTTCACCCAAAAGATCAAAAGAAGGAGCAGGATGGGAGTCTATGAGTAACAAACCTAATGGGAACTTCCTCGGGGGAGCAAGGATTCTGAACAGTCTCAAAATCAGGATCTGAAGCTTACCAAAGGAGGGTTTTGGCAAGTCAGATGTCTTCTTCAGTCCCATTTCACTGTCCTTCAAGCCAGTAAACGAAAGCTGGGAAAGAGGAGACTACTTCATCAGCGGAGATCAAAAGCAGTCTCTGACTAGTAGCCAGACAAAATTTGGGATCATGTGGGTCAATTAGTTAAAACTTGTGATGTAGCCAGTATCTTTGATGTGATTCTGTTTATTCTAAGACCATACAAAGTCCTGCTTTACTGAGCGCAGGGGGAACAAAACACACTTCTCTTGCTTCTCAGAGTTTTGCCTCTGCCTGTCCTCTGCCTCCCGCACAGACGCACCCCCACGCCCGAAGCATCGCTCTCTCCTGCGTGCACGCAGGGAAAGGCGTGAGCAGCCTCTGGCCGCATGCGCCCACCCGTGCACATGAACTCTCTGTGCAGCACACACAGCCCTGAACCGCCGCCCGGGCACCCTTACTGCTCTACACACACAAACCACCGCCCAGCGTTTTACCCTGAATGAAGGTAACCATCCCGCATCTTCATTTTAGATGAAAATTAAAGCCTACCCAAGCAAGTTTCAGGAATAAATACCAAACTGAAGGCCCCCAACTTTTACTACACTCTAGGCAAACACATTTTACTTATTTACTACCCATGGACTCTTAATCACCCTGGACCAAAGAACTGAAGGAAATCATGACTTTTTTGGTATCAGAGGAAAAGTCACATCTTCAGCTGGAGGAAAATGTACCCTGGTGTCCTTTTCAACCACATACTCAGTGGTAAATCATTAGAAACAATAAGGGCTTAAATAATTTCCTCTTCCCCCAGTATTTTAGCTCTTTTCGGAGGAGCGTTAAGGAAATAAGGATCCAGACTGGCAGCTGAGTAAGGATAATAAGCCAATACAATCATAAAAAGAAAGGCTACAAAAATTTATGCTGGAATTCCAGTACCTCTCACATCTCAAAGTTCAAATCACCCGATCTCTACAACAAGATAATCATACAAGTTTACAGAACAACGTTAAAAAGCACACGTAGTTTTACTTCAATTCTTTGCCATTGAGGTAAAAAACTTTTTTCCTTTTTCCTCCAAATTTCTACAATGTCTTTGAATCCCTGGAAGTGTTGCACTTATTTAGTCCTCCAGGTTAAATAAATTCATCATCCTTTATGAAGTAAAATGTAACTTAAAGTACGTTTAGAATCAATAAAAAGGTTGCAAAGAAGTCTTAGTAAATTTATCAATTAATAGCCAAGCCCAGGAGGCCATCCTTCGCTTCTGCTCTGTCAGCTAAGGGATTTCTTTCTTCCTAACAATGTTTACGTAAGAGTGGCATGGTAAGCAGCACTCGCTATAAAATATTGATCAGCTGCACCATTAGTTGGAATTCGAGACAGCTCTGTCATAGCAAAACCAAAACAATTACCGCTATTGATTGGACTTTTTTGTTATAGATTATTTTGGTATTTGAGTACATCAGAAAATACACATTTCTTCAAAATAATAATAATGATAATAAAAACACATTTTACAGCATGGTTGGTGCACAATAAGTAACATCTTTACAAAGGGAATGGAAAAAAAATACAGGTTTCAGTTCCAGTAAATGTGCAGCCACTATTTTCTACAGCTATTTTAAAAGAAAGTGAGTGTGTTTTACCAAACGGTGTCGTCTTCGGAGGGGAAGGGACTCGCTGTTAGGTAAGAAGCGCCGCTGGAGGAAAGGCCGCTGGAAAAGGCTCACCTGGAAAACAGTGAAGGGGGTTTAGGGAAGCGGGAGGCACATCGGGGCCCGGGTGGCTGCAGGGAGAAAGCGGACAAGGGAGAGAAGGGGCTGAGGGGCGCGAGGCGAGGAGAAGCTGTTGGGACCGAGCGCTTGGGAACATCACCTGTGAGCAGGGGGAGGGATGGAGAGCTGTGGAGAGCAGGGGAAGGAGCAGAGGCAAGCGCAGAGAGAAACCCTGCAAAGGAGGGAACGATACGGGCCATCTGGGAGGAAGAGATAATGAAATTGAGGGAGCCGTGCAGGCGCGATAGCGTCGGTTATAAACAAGAGGAGAAAGAGGAGAAGAGAAAAATAGCCCATCAAGTTTCCAGCAGGCTGCGGGGATGCGGAAAGGTTGAATTGTTTGCTGAAGTACATGTTGTTTGCGCATGGCAAATGTCAGCCGTGCCAACGGCGGCGCTTCCCCGGCCCCCCCCCACAAACGCGGCCCTAAAAGCGGCGGCGGGACCGGCG